TGGTTGGACTTGATGATCTTTGAGGTCTCCTCCAACCTTGATGGTTCTATGATTCTACAGTTTTAACTATCTTGAACTGACAGCCAACTATCTGAACTACAGCCAGTCACTTGACACAGTGCAATCTGGGAAATTATTAGTTAAACTGAAGAAGTTATATCCCAAAACAAGTTTTGTTAGGTGTGTAGTGTTGCATGGAGGATCCTGGGTGGAGAAATCTTCCATTATCCATGAAACTCATCTTAATTCATATTGTCCTTAGAGACTTGGACACAAAAGCTGGGAGTGCCCCATTGATATCTGCTGATTACACAAAGACATATGGAAACTGAGGCTCAGTGTATTTTTCAGGAACAATGGGATCACTTGAACAGTAAATGGGCTGAAATTTAATAGCACGAACTACAAGAGGCACAAAAGGTCTGTTTTCAGCAGCACATTCAAAGCCAAGCAGGAAAACCACCCGTTAGGGGAAACATTTGTCACACGGAGAAGGAGATGCCAATTAGACAGGTAAAGGCTTGTCTGGAAGTGAGATAATTTGTACTAAAACAATGAGTCTTTGTAAGAGCCCCTGGTAAAGGAGGTAGGGCTACAAAGTTAACCTATTTTAAGGTACAGCTGGCTAAGTTTATGAATAAGGCAACAAGGTAGGTCATGTGAGGTGACAAGTGATCCTTGGAAGTGCCAAGGGCTCTTTCCTCTGCAGTTCTGGGTTTCTCTGACGAGGTATTTCTCTACCTCTCTAAGCACCATGCAAGGCCTGTGGCTGGAGAAGCTGTATGTTCATACATATATCAGCTCCGGGAAAGACCTTTGTGTGTCCCTCACTGCTGTTCCTGGGGGAAGAGGAGATTGGGATGGCAGAGGATTTGGAACTAGGTGATCTCTAAGGTCCCTTCCAAGCCAAACTACTCTGGTTTCATGGAGGAACAGAGCTGAGAGGTATGCCTTGGTTTCTTGCCCACCCACAGATCTCTGTGCCCCCATGAGAGGTAGAAATAAGTTTTGTTTTGGACAGTAAACCTGCAAACTGGCAGTTCCTCAAAGAGTGTGCTCTTGGTACGAAATGACTAGGACCTGAGGTCATGTCTCACTCAGTCCATGTTTCCCCAGGCTTCTTGCAAAAGTCTCTTCAATCTGTCATGCCCTTGTTTCTCAAGGGGACAATTCTCCACCCCATGCAGTCCCTGTAGAGGTAACTGTGGCCATGAAGTAGTGCAAGGAGTGCAGTCCCTCTAGAGGTTAACTGTGGCCATGAAGTAGTGCAAGGAGGATGGAGGAGCACTTACCACTGGGTGGCTTGGTCTTTATCATTTTCTTAAATGCACCTGCAATGATTCTCTTTATTTTCTTTCCTTTTTCAGGGCTGTCACCAGCAGAGATTAAGCTCTCATTGCTTGTGATGGAAGAGGCACGTGAAGCTCTGCAAGCTGCCTCTGGCCTTTCATTCATCTTCTCCTGGTCCCTGGACCAGATTTCATCTACGGAAGGTTCAGGACAGGCAGGGACTTGCTCAGCTACTGATGCTGAAGGGTTTTCAAGCTGCCTGTTTGCACCACTGCAACCCTCTGATCCACCACGTATTCCAAAAGGACCACTTTGGAAAAAAGGTAACATTTTCATCATGTTCCTTCTACCTGTAGATTTCAGACAAAAAAATAATTGATCAGATTACATCAGTTAGCAAGAAAAATATCATGGAACTATGTGGCAAGATGTGTATGGGCAATGTAGGGAATGCTACAGCTGTTCATCTATGATGCGACAGATGTAGCATCAGCGTGCAGCCCAGAAACCAACTACATCCTGAGCTGCATCCAAAGGAATGTGGTCAGCAGGTCAAGGGAGGTGATTCTCCCCCTCTGCTGTCATGAGACCCAACCAGTGCAGTCCTGGTGCCCTCAACATAAGGAGGTCATGGAACTATTGGAACAAGTCAAGAAGAGGCTGTTGAAGTTGATAAGAGGACTGGAGCACCTCCCCCATGAGGACAGGCTGAGGAGGTTGGGGCTATTCAGCCTGGAGAAGAGAAGACTGTGTGGAGACCTCATAGTAACTTTTCAATATCTGAAGGGGCCTACAAGGGAGCCAGAGAGGGACACTTTATTAGGAACTGCAATGATAGTACAAGGGGTAATGGGTTCAAACTGAAGAAGGGGAAGTTTAGGTTAGATATTAGAAAAAGGTTTTTTACTATAAGGGTGGTGAGACACTGGAAAGGTTGCCCAGAGAGTTTGTGCACTCCCCATCCCTGGAGGTGTCCAAGACCAGACTGGATGAGGCTCCGACCAACTTGGTTTAGTGGAAGGTGTTCCTGATCTCTAAGGTCCATTCCAACCCCTATGTTGAATGCTTTGCAACTATAGATGTGAGCATGGATGCTCCACGTGAATGATGTGAGTGGGTGGGACAAGTTCCTGTGCCTATTCAAAGCAACCACTAAACTCCCAAACTGTTGCATGGCATCAGAACAATTCCCACCTTCCTCAGGGCATTTTTTTGCTGATCTCTGTTCAAGGGAAACAGGAACAAGGCACAGGATCAGGGTGGTTTAGCCTTGTTTAAACACACACTGTCCTGCGACAGACCTTCTCTACCACCAACACTCCTGCTCTACAAATAATTAACAGCAGGAACTTGTTATTGTCACAACAGCTTTTCAGAATTCGGAGTTACGTTCCTCTATAATGTAATATATTGCTAAATATTTATTTGCATAATTAAACATTTTTAGGATGATAAGAATGATGTAATTATTGTAAATAAATGGAGTGACTCATAGTTTCCAAAACTTATTCTAACAACACTTTATTTAAAGTGACTTTCTAAAGAGACCAGAGCGCTTCTGTATGAAGTACTCTTAGGCAAGTTTTGGCTTACTTGTACTGATTAAGAGGAATTAGGCTTTAAATGAGGAAAGAATTTGCTGCAGTTACAAGGCCACAGTGTGGTGACCTCCAAATCCCTTGTGGAGTTCATGCTGTTGATATGTATCGCACTGATACAAACCATGATACTTATTTCTGCACAAAATGGTTGGAAGATTGTGGCTTTTTGTTTTAATTGTGTTTCCTCCGGCTGGTTCCTGGAAGCTTGGAGAGCTTTGAAGCTCCAAGCTAGTGGTAGCAGCTGGGTGGCACAGAGGGCAGTCAGAGCCTGGCATTGCTGAGAGCTTTCATAGAATCATAGAATAAAGCAGGTTGGAAGACACCTCCAAGATCATCAAGTCCAACCCTACTGTGGTCACTAGGCCATGGCACTAAGTGCCACATCCAGTCTCAGCTTGAAAACCTCCAGGGATGGCGAATCCACCACCTCCCCGGGCAGCACATTCCAATGCCTGATCACTCTCTCTGTAAAAAATCTCTTCCTATTATCCAACCTAACCCTCCCCTGGCAGAGCGTGAGTCTGTGCCCTCTTGTCCTGCTGCTGGTTGCCTGGGAGAAGAGACCAACCCCCACCTGACTCCAACCTCCTGTCAGGGAGTTGCAGAGGGTGATAAGGTCTCCCCTGAGCCTCCTCTTCTCCAGGCTGAACCCCCCCAGCTCCCTCAGCCTCTCCTCATGGCACTTGTGCTCCAGTCCCTTCACCAGCCTCGTTGCTCTTCTCTGGATCTGCTCCAGCACCTCAATATCCTTCCTGAACTGAGGGACCAGCCCTCTCCCTGCTCTGAATGCCAGGTCGTGTTGAGGATTAGCAATGCTGTTGCTTTTGAAACACAATGAAGATGAAAACTCATTCGGGAAGGAGAGAAAGGAGCGGTGTGTGTATCATCTGGCTGACTCTTCTTTAGCCAGGAAACCCCCTGCAGTTCACTCTGGCTATGCTAGTCAGGATGCCCCACTAGAATCCTAAAAATGGTGGAAAAATCAGCTCCTTTTTGTCACATTTCCATTGCAAAATTACATCCTGGTAACAGGGATGCCCTGTAAGTGAATTTTGTAGGGCTATTTTCCTAGCCTGCATTACCAAACACAACACTGTGTTTAGATTCATTTTGCCAAATCCCTTCCTTCCTGTTTGTTCAAGCACAGACTCAGCCAAGTCCTTTCTCTGTCCCCTATTATTTCAAACAAAGCATTTTTCCTCCCTTTTTTTTTGTTGTTTTCTAAACAAAGAAATTACCTCTCCCTTTCCAAAAACCTAAGGTGGCTGTCAGAGTCTTTCATTTGGATCGATGATGATCAGAAAGGTGGATTTCAAAACAGTTTTGGTTCTTCTTCAACACCAAGATGAATGCAATGTGTCTTTGAAAACTATTGAAGTCACTCTACATGTAGTAGAGTCCATAAAGGAATGATTAAACTGGTTAAAAGCTGAGTTTTTAACCTCTGCAGAACTTTGTCTTGGTAATGTTCTCAAAGAGACAACCTCAGGCATACAAGTAAAGCTGCAGTAGCTGCACTGTTCACTCACATTTGACCAGGTTGAACACTTGCCCAGAGGTTACTGGTTGGCCTGTGTTTGTCTCTGCAGCAGGAAATACCAGCAAACCCCAAGTACCACTTCTGCCTTGAAATGAAGCCTCATGTATGGCAAGTGGTACCAAAAACTCCCCCTCATCTCTTCTCTTTATTATTAGATAGCCAAACACATACTGTAAGAAACTCCTATAAGAAACTTCCTATACGAAACTTCCTTATAGAAAAACACCCTCACTTTCTACAACACTCAGCTAAGGAGATGGCACTGGTTACCTCTGGGGGCCACAGGCAGAAGATGCTGTGTTAGCTCTGCTCCTTCTGTCTCCATCAACATCTGCTCCTACCAAACTCTGGCTTGGATGGCCATGGGCTGCTCCTGTACACCTGTGTTCTGCTCACAAATCAAAGCTTGTTCAAACTCCAGCAGGCTCCTAATCTTTTTAGGATTCATTTCCCAGGCACAGAGCTCAAATTCAAGTCTTGGAAAATGTCATGCTTTAAGGTCAAGAGTTGACATTGTTCCCAATTTACTCTTAGTACTAATTTATTGTTATAAATCATCCTCATTATTGTTATATCCTCATTATTGTTATATGGCACTATGGTTTGTGCCAGGGGAGTCTTTAGCTCCAATTTCTTTTGACATAGTGTATTCAATTCAGATCATCCTCATTATTGTTATGTGGCACTATGGTTTGTGCCAGGAGAGTCTTCAGCTCCAATTACTTTTGACATAGTGTACTCAGCTTATGGTTCACAAGCAGAAGAGCAGCACAGCTCACACAATGGCACTATGGTTTGTGCCAGGGGAGTCTTTAGCTCCAATTACTTTTGACATAGTGTATTCAGCTTATGGTTCGCAAGCAGAAGAGCAGCACAGCTCACACAGCATCCTCTGCCACCCTGCACAAAGGCCCTGCTGCATGAGGACAGTGGTGCTGTCACTGCTGGTGTAGCTGGAGAGATCTGCATGGCGCTCACCATGGCATTACCTCCGAGCTGGAGCTTTTCTGGGGTGGCAGCAAGAGAGGAGGATACACTTGGAGCAGAGCCATGACCCAGAAAGACTCAGCACAGACCCTGGGCACAGTGCTTTCCCATTTTCTCCTTGTACTTCTCAAAGGAAACAGCTCTCACACAGCACACTCAGGAAAAAGTTCATTTGCAAGGGGTGGCTCATGTCGTGCCAGAGAGCACTCAAGGGAAGAGTGATTTACTAATCACCCCTATCCTGAATTTTTTTGCTGATCTTTTCCTTGGTTTCTTTTTTTTCCTGAGCTGCTGCCAGGATTAACAAGCATTTGTTCAGATTTTGGTCCTCTCCAGCTTGCTGACATCCTAGGTCAGAAGGATTTATATCTTGAGTGGAAATCCCCCACCATCCCACAGCCTCTCTGAAAACCAGAGTTATTTAGCAAAGTTTATTCTCGGTGTGTATCTTGAGTGGAAATCCCCCACTCTCCCACAGTCTCTCTGAAAACCAGGGTTATTTAGCAAAGTTTATTCTCGGTGTTTACATCAGCCATTTCTCCCCCAACCCATGGCCTGAGGAAGGGGGGTCACCCCTGCCCACACAAGAAAATTGCACTGAGTCAAATAATCATTTGAAGCAGTCAAGCAGTGCAGACAATTTGAGTTCAGAGTACCTCAGACCATGTGGTGACATCTAAACATGCTTCTAATTGAGTCTATGGAGATGCCAGACACAATCTTTGCAACCTGGGAGGTGGTGAGTATTTTCCTACAATTTTTGTTAGCTGGATTAAGTCCTGAATGGAGACACCATGAAGCTGGAGGCTCCCACTTGGCTCTGCTTGGGAAATCACAGTCCATAGATGAGCTGGGTGACCCACAGACCCACTATGACACTTTACTGTGCTGCTCACATCCACACTCCTGTCTGCAGACTCTGTGAGACACCCGCCACCCAATGTGGTCCAGCACCATCCTGATGATAGCCAAGCTCTGCTCGTAATGGAGTAAAAAACTAAGAGGAATCAAAACTTGTGTCTCCAATAAAGAACTAAGGCAGGAGCAGAATCTCTTCAGGGACTCAGCCCAGTGCTAGTCACTCTTATAGGGCTAGGGGTGATGGGGGATCCAAGAGATCCAGGGAAATGGAAGTGGCTGGCAGACAGAGGATCCCAGAGCATCTCACCTGGTGTGAGATGCTTTAAACCAGCATTAAACCTGTCTGGGGA